GTGAAAATCGTAATTTTCAACACAAATAATAGTCTCGCTACCTTAAAAGGATATTTGCTGATTATACGTGCAGTATTACGCAGATCTGTTTTAAGAATATTACATTCTTTGTCAAACCATTTTTTCTTTGATTTACGTTTAACATTTCCACCATTACTCATTCGTTTATGTTTAAAAATCTGACTGGCTGCATTATTAATAATTAAATTAAAATCTTCTACAGCAGTATTAATTCCTTTCTTATCTATGCTATAAATTTTATCAATAAATGACTTTATAATAGCTTGGACCTTCTCAGATGCTAGATTATCCTGGTAATCGAAGACTGACAATCTATCCCAAACCCAACTCTTTGGTAAATTATTTAAAGTACCTGTGTTATTTATCGGTATATCAAGTGCATTCTGATCTAATCGTAGTAAGCACGATATCTGACAGTGGTCTGATGTACATGTAAAATCATGAACTTTAAAATATTCAATGCTGTCAAATATGTTTAGTGAGGTTATGGCATAATCAACAGTGCTTATTCCATTGTAATGGTAGCATGTAAAATTGCCACTGGAATCTCCGGGCATTCTTCCATTTAGAATTCTGATGTTACAATATGCATGAGGTAGTTTGATTCGAATTAACAAATCAGTAGTCAAAGACTATTTATAACAGTTGTTACGTCGAACTAATTTTGCAGAGTTTTTTTTGTTCAGGTATTATGTTTTTCTTCTGTTTATTAATAATTAAAATTATTAGTTTGCTCTTGTATCAAGATGTTTAAAACTGGATTATTTGCTCCATGTGCAGTTTGATGGATTTTGTTTCAAATTTGTGAAATTGCAAACTAAAAACAATCCCGAATTTATTAGTATTCTGGGTTAAATGTCAAATAGTAGGATAGTCTCATCAATTTTGAATGTGTTTTTTCTCTGTATGGATGTGTGTAATATTAATTTATTTGGGCATTTCACCGGGTTTGAATTTCACTATTTTCACGAAATGTCAGTGAATTCACTCCACGTTTCAACATTGCAATATAATTCATTGTTTATTTGAGTTTTGATAACCTGTGAATATATCAAATTAGAAGATAGTAAAAATTAAATACCAGTGGATACAAATATTGTACGTACAGCACACATCATCATCACTATCATCATCGGGATACTATAGGCGTCACGTTGGTCAAGTACGTTCAAGAAAGTCGTTTATTCATTCTGTTATTTTTTTTATCGCGACATGGAAACATAATACATCCACGCTGCCAGAATATATTTGTTATGTAAATTCAATAGGGATTGTGACTTAACATTTATATTCGTTTTCAGTCAGACTACTATAGGTGTTTACGAACGTCATTGGTTTAATGCCTGTGACTCCATTGTGTGTCGTCATTCATTCACCATGACTGCGTCAGCTGTGATCAAAACCATGCTTGCCTAAACAAATGTAATTTCATTCAAAGTACTAACATATTATAACATATGTTTGTTATCTAATCGAAAGGATTACGTCACAGCGTATTCTGTTTCATGATATTGGCATGCAGTTTACACGCGAAATAAGAGTGTCTACGGAGACGATCCCGTGACTATTCCATTTGGTATAGGATTGCCACGCTGACAAATACCTTGTAACACACACATAATCACGCGTACTGATTCGGTGTTCGTATATTTAATGTTTTATTATCAGATCGTGTTATAGCTGTATAGTGTATCGGACATTTGACATGTTGAATTCCCGTCAACGGTAAAAACACTTCATACTCGGTATGTGTGCCCATGGACCTACCGTATGTAGAAGGTCCATTGGTCCGCATAGTAACGAGACCCTGTGATAAAAAGTACGACCAAAGTGTGAACATAGACACAGGGAATCGTGATTAAAAGTTCGGGTCAAAAAACAAAAATGCGTACTTGTTTCCAATTTTAAATCAACGGCAACACGCTTATCGAACCTCTTAACTTATGTCACCTATCATGGAACCAAAGTTCGTTTGCTAGTAAACGTGCTGAGCCGCCCGGTTAGCTCAGTCGGTAGAGCGTGGGACTTTTAATCCTAAGGTCAAGGGTTCGACCCCCTTAGCGGGCGTAAATTTTTTTTCACAATTTTTCGCCGATATTTTAAGCAATATGTTTCAAATATTAAAGGATTTGTTTGTTTGCTTAATATTGAGTTGATAGTTGAATGTGGAAAGTTATGAGTTACGTCGTGATGCGTACCACCCAGTGAAAGCCAATGCAGCTTTTTCTTTAAGTGAGCTGTAGTTTAATATTCGGTTCATTTTTATGTCAACCTTAGTGGTGCCACTCGTGGGACCAATATAGTTATATTTTAAATTTTTTTATTGTTATTTATGTTTAATTGTGACTATTTCTTAATGGTTTTATTTGCCGTTATTAAGTGTTTTATATGATCTCGGACACCTTCAACCATGACCGAGATACAATATATATAACCAGACAACACAAAGTAATACAAAAAATAGCCACAAAGAATCAAAATTAACAATGAAAAAAACATGGAAATTAAAAATAAATAAAAGAAAATGAACCTCCACCAACATTGGAACTGGAATATGTGGGACAACACAGTTAAATTGCAGTACTATATGAAATAAACATGAAATTTAATTTCAATTTAATTAAACTGAATTAATATTAATTACAACCCAGTATTCTCATTTTCAATTCAAATCGACTCAATTAAATCACAATCCCATATAGGAATTTAATTGCAATTAAATAAAATTCAATTAAATTGCAACTATATATTGAAATGGAATTTGATTACAGTTCAATTAAATTGTGTCTAGGTACAATACATTAAATTAATTAAAATTTAACTTTAACTTAATTTAAATGTAATTTAACAGGTATTGGCATTAGTATTCGAGTAGATAGATGGATGGGTAGATATACAGACTGTCAACCTAAAACCTAAATCTAAGGCCAAGACACATGATATTTCTTTGAATTTATTTCAATATAATTTTTTTCGGTTACGCAATTCCTACCCGGTTCCCGGTTTTATAGACAACCCGTAGATTTACTCAATGTGAACTCCACAAGTATACGTCCGGTTTTGCCCAACATGTCTTTTTTGGCCAGTTTAGCGTATTCCAGCGGTTATACTATGCCACGGAAATAAAATCAGCAGGTATAGAAAACCACCGCTTTCTTCAAGTTTGTGCATCGACGGAAAGGTAACCGTCCCCAGTCAGGTAATGAGTGATATCGGCATGTGTAAAGGTTGTGGGCCTACGTCTGATGGAGTTATGACTGTGCATGTGCTAATTCACAAGAGATGTAGCCTGAGTTTCACTACGACAGTAGACAGGCACCATCCTCGGCATTTTCACCATTTTGTGATATACGTTATAAAATGCCAGCGTGAATATAAATCTATTTATACAGTGAACAGACAGACATTGCTGTAATATATTATTAGGTGTCTTGTCTAAAGTACAATGTAATAATCTATAATTGGTTACATGACAGCTGACACGAGCCTTCAAGTGAGGAATTCCCACAAGTGTATCATCGTATAAAATCTCCACCAGCAACAATCAAAAAGGAAGAGTCAGTCAGCACGACCTTTTGTATGGCGGCGGGCGTTTATTAATAAAATAATAAAACGAACCAACACCAGCACACCGGGTGCTACGTCAACACAATCTGTCGTCGTAGTTTGACGTGAATAATGTATTTACTTGCCGTTGATCGTAATTAACACCCTACACACGTGGCGGCCAAATGTATGTGGAGTTCACATACTGACAACTGCGACCCAGTCGCCATTTTGACAAACTGGAATTGGGACGATCATGATCTAACCAACATTTTTGTTACACAAAAATCTAAAACACCATTAAACGTAAAGTATCCACCCAAGGATCATGTGAAAAATTAAATTTCGAAACGTTTTTTGGCGACGAATGCGACTGAAAAAAATAACACTTTGTTGGCGACATATATACATGACATTCACCAATAAGTGACAAAATAAGATTGAAATAATATTAAGCAACTTAAGGCGTACTTAGTTCAAAGCGATGATAGAACATATTACTTACTCAAATGACAAGGGGGTGCGTTGTCAGAACATGGGATCACATCCAGTACAGAACTCTCTGACATTAAGTGAAATAAATATCACGGAAATGGTAAAAAAAAATCTGTCAGTAAAATGAATGTATTAATATGTAAATATATGCGTAACAGATGTAGATGGATTAAGAGGTCAAGGGTCACACTGGCGTATTACAAATGATGACTCCTTCTTTTGTTATTAATTGTACGTGGCGGTTGTTTTTTATTATCCGATTGGGGAACACTACACAAATGTACCATAAAATGTTGTCACAAGTGCAAGTCTATTTTTTTACTGACAACTTGACAGCGCATGCGCCACAAATTCTGACCTCAATAGAGGGGTATTATATTGCGTGGCGTTATTTAATTTTACAACATTTGGTTCAGGCTTAGATTATCATGTTTAGTTTAGTTGCATGCCAATGAAACTGCTCTATTGTGTCTTATAATGATATGATGTATACTTCGACAAGTGAGGGAATATTCTAGTAGTAGTTGCTTGTCTACATTATGACGTTCGAAGCGCTGATGACGTTTTGATCTATATTCGGCCATCAATGAACTTTGAGAAATTGTACAATATTCTAGATGATGATCGACCACATACCCAAACACAGTTGTAGATTTTAACGACATTGCCTTCATCCATGCGTGATTTTGACGTTATATACGCGCTCTGTCAAAAGATGGCGCGATTGATATTAATGGTGTATTATATGTGATTTGTATTATCAGATATTGATTAGAAATACAAAACGGTGTTCGGAGTTGCGCATCTTTACTCTATATACTAGTAGTATTCGAGCTCTTGTGCATTTACCGACAATTTATAATGCTAGTAACAACTTCTAAACAATTTTGCTGTTTTGGGGGTAAATCAATATATTTTTACGGTTTTTAGAACACGTTGGTAACATTTTACTAACTTTGGAATTAATTCTAACAACGAATTTTCACAGATGAGAACTCCGAGATCATGATTGGTACACGGGAATCCCGTGCGCTGCCAAGTTGAGGATGGGAAATTAGAAACGGTAAATTTCGTATATTACGCGATATTAACACCCAAACGCAATTGGTACACGTGAAGGCGGCTGAAAGCGGTATATAGCGAAAACATTAATATTTACCATTTTAAAAAAACTTGGTCAAATGAGCTATGTTTTGATATCTTTTGAGATGACATGACAATTTCGATTTGAGGGCATCGACCAATCATGATCGGTTCATCAATAACTAGCCTGTATGGGGTGGGGGTGGGGTATCATCCAAGCATATACGTGATAAATTCGGATAATATACGTGTTATCGAATATGCTTCTGTTCTATAAAAACCGCACTAGTATAATGACTTTGTCTGAGGGTAGAATGCGCCGAAACTTAACTTACAACCTTGTCCATACTAAATAATTCCTCTACAACAAAACATTCTGCACCTGGTATTGTATATCAGTGATTAAACCAAGATATTTTGATGTTAGTTACCAGGGGATAAGAGTGGCGACGTGTGTTGGTGATTAAAAAGTGTCTATAAATCTATAAATTGTCTTTTCATCAAACTTTGAGCAAAATTTGGATTTCTAATGATATATTGCTGAGCAAAATTTAGAAATAATACTTAGGATTCCTGAATTTATGTTTAAGAGGTGTTAGCATAAGCATATCATGGAATCTTGGGTAATTTATGACGATATGGGGCGCTTAACGACGAACACGGCAATACTTTAATTCTTGCCTGATTCCCGGTAGCAGCCGCTAGAGGTCGCTATCGATATTGGTAGACCATGGCGTCCTCCAGCGGCCTGGAAACCAGGCTATAAATCTTTGTCTTAATTTCCATACCTTACTCATTGCGCCATCTACCGACCCAAGAGACAGTTTTGGATACAACCAAAGACCCACCAAAAGTACAGTCTTCTCCTCGATGAATTGAGCACACTTGAATACTCGATGGAAGTCACCGGATTGTGTTTGCAGAATGCTCAATGTAATATATAGCATCGGTACTTTGTTGTGGATATATTGACCAGTTTGGAGACCGCCTAAGTTCTTTGTTTAACTTATCGCGGGGTAGTCGGTTTCACAAATCTCGTGTAAAATAACGTTGTGACGATATTAAGTGGCAGACGGGCATCATCGACGTCAAGAACGGGCATACTTGCAATTTGCAAATATAGTTGTTAAATATCATACCGTGGAAGCCGGGATGAACACATTGTGTAACTCAATTTGTGTACTTGAACACTGCTTCGACACATTCCCGATTCCCTGAAGAGTGGTGTTGATATTTGGGTCGTGAACATTAGACACCACCGAGAAAGGGCGTGGTAAACGACGATGTTCCGAGGAGGGCTTCACACATGTAAATAAATTTTGTTTGACTCTAACTAAACCAACGCATGTGGTTATGTGGTCGAAATTAGAAAGCTAACTAACGTTTATTTTTTGTAGAAACGCTGATTATGAAAGTTTTCAGCTCCGTGATTTGAAAATCGTTGTTCAATATACTGCGGTCAAATGCAGTGCGCCCCCATTTCTGGGATGTTCGAAATTGACGATGTTGTATTATGATGAGACTGCTAGATTATTGTTCTGATATTGAAATTGACAACTTCGAGTACCGTGCTGGTGAGTCGATAGGTATGCCTAACTTCTAATCAATTTGGTGTGCTTTAATTTCTTTCTTTTTGTCTTCAAATATGCGTTTCATGGGAGTGTTTTAGGCTGGCAACATTATAGTTCGGTATCATTGCCAATGTCACGGTCAAATCCTGACAACGCATATAATAACTGCCGTTATGCCATTTAATCTCAACATGTTACCATAGGATTTCCGGATACGCTGTCATGACAGTTTTTGCAGTACAGATTTATTCTGCGTCCGTGATTCATCAACACGACAACCGGTGTGGCAACTGTTAGTACGTGGAACCCTCTAGTTGCAATTTTGTAAGCCAACGTTGTACTGAATATATAATAATGTGTCGACTAACTTCAAACGCCTGTCAATATTATCAAACTTGAACACGTGAAGGACGATGTTGTTGTTTTCAGTTACAGTGGTACGCGCACGCTACGTGCGCCCAACCAACACCGTGACGCCATTGTCATCATGCTGCGCGCGTTCAAATTGTGTGTAAACAAACATTGAATGTACGTCGCATGGAACTCACGTCAAACAGAGCGCGGAGCGACGACCGGGCTGCTTTTAAAAAACACACAATGGTGTTATTGTTACCTAAGCTTTTAAGATGCTAGGTCTATTTAAAGGTACATGTTCGCTTTTTGACGATGTTTGACTCAAAGTCACTGAACTTTTCTATTATGCGCAGTAACTTGGTGTACTTCTCTAGGCACGGTCGCAGAAATATAAAATAACCAACTTGAACGGGTACAAATTTATTCAAATTTGATGATACTGGCCCAGCTGTGATTAAATATTTTTTATTCGAATGTATTAATAATATTTACGGCTCACCGTATATCTTGGGAGAAATTTCTTTTCATGTTCATGAGCTGGTTGTAATAAAGAACGTTTATTTTAAATTGGACATTTCCCGTATTAATATCAAAGTCACTGAACTTTTCTATTATGCGCAGTAACTTGGTGTACTTCTCTGGGCACGGTCGCAGAAATATAAAATAACCAACTTGAACGGGTACAAATTTATTCAAATTTGATGATACTGGCCCAGCTGTGATTAAATATTTTTTATTCGAATGTATTAATAATATTTACGGCTCACCGTATATCTTGGGAGAAATTTCTTTTCATGTTCATGAGCTGGTTGTAATAAAGAACGTTTATTTCAAATTGGACATTTCCCGTATTAATATCAGAAAATTCTTTTGACCACGTGTATCAACTTTTCAATAGTATTGTTAATGATTTTACCAACACCCTCTTTACTTTCAAAAACAAATTATTTTTCTAGTGTAATGTTATGACTTAGTGCTTTTTTGTGAAGTAATTTTGTCAAGTATCGTTCGGTTGCCTAAAATAGTGATTTTTGCCTGTTGGAACAATAAACGAATAAAATAAAATAAATAAATAAAATAAAAGGTAGATGAGGTAGATGATGTATCAATGTACTATCCCCAATACTAATATGTACTTCCTTAAGCTACCGGATACTGCGTGATTTAGCAAACACAACAAACAGTTGATCAGTACTCATGTGAATTTGTTCTGAATAAATCATGTCCTGCGTTACCATGGAGACGCGCGTTGAGAGATAGTATGCATATTACTGTTATACAGAACTATCAACTTATACAAACATTTTTCAAATAGCAATGATGTCAACGATCAACTCACTCATCGTGTAACTCTATTAACTTAAACAGTACTTCAATCCATAACGCTTATTGTGGCTAGCGGTTCGTGTGAAAAGCGGCGACCATGTCGACCGACTATACACTAGTGGGGCGCATTTATTTATTTTTCATACATGACAAACAATTGTTTTTTAAAATTAAAACAGAACCCAGAAAAGAAAGTGGATTTTAAAATCGGTTCCAGAACCGAAAATAGTTATTTTAATATTTAATAAAAAGAGGATTATGAATAAAAATGAGTTTTCAAAATGTAAATGAATTGTAAAAATGATTTTATAAAATGCCATGCTGTGAGCCACATCGGTTGCCGTACTGAAGACCTTAGAATGCACTCAGTTATTATTATTGTTGTTGTTATGTTTATTTCCACAATTAGAACGCGTGGGCACGGCAGTTGAAATCTTGAGAGAATCTTTAATAATACACCAAAAGCGGCAAATGTATTTTCTTGTGAAATCGTTCGTTGTTTAGAATATATTCTTGGCACAATAAAGTTGTTCACTTCATCTTAATATATATTTATAAGTTCCATTCGCCATTGAATAAAACAAGCCAATCATCAAGCACGGTGCGCAACGACGGCATTTGAAAACGTTCCAATGTTATTCAATTTTAGTATAAATTGTGAAATTTATAAATAATTATATATATGAAGAGAATGCATTTGTTACGCCGCGAGTATTACATCTCTCAAACACGTCATTCATATTAATTTTACGTTACCATCATACGCTTTAATGGTCTGCTGATAAAATATGTCACTATGAATATGTCCCAAATCATATTTTGATTATCCAATGTAAGCTACACACACAGTAACGGTAGGATACAAGTAATATTTCGGGGCAGTGGGCTAAATGCGGTCGTGGGG